ATTTTATTTAAATAGACATGTCTATTCTCAACCAAGTTGAATAGACATTAGACAATTAGACCATTGGGCAATTAGACAATCAAATTTTTGATTGAACTATGTCTATTCACAACCCTGTATAAAGAATATCTATTATGTAAGTATTTAAATAAGTAATTCATGAATATTAATAATAATCTAATTTTCTTTTATTCACGTTAACTTGAGTGTGTGTAAAGAAACTTTATTAATATAAGAGTTTAAAATAAGTTATTTAAATAAGTTATTCAAGTTCTTGAATTAATCGCGTTAATTTAAATATATATAAAGAATATTTATTCATTCGAAGTATATAAATTAAGTTACTCAATAAACTATTCTGGTTCATGAATATTGCAATACAATTTACTTTATTCGCAAAATAAATTATTCAAAATTCATGAATTTTTGTATTTAACATTCCTTTAATTTAGGTGAGCATAAAGAAAATTCATTAATATAAGTATTGTTATCAATAAGCTATTTAAGTTCATAATTTTTACTATTTATTTTTATTCTTTTTTATCTGAATTAATTTAGGTGTGCATAAAGAATCTAAGTATTTATTAATTTTGCTATCTAATTTCATGTTAATTTAGGCGAATAAAGAAAATAGTATTTAAAATGGATCTTCTATAGTATAGGTGGGCAATATAGAAATATTATAATGATATTATAATATAAAAAAACTCTAACCCTAACTCTAACCTAACCTTAATTTAAACTATAACCCTCCCCTAACCCTAACTAGTCCCAAATTTGCTTAAATTAGTTCAAATAGTTAATTTTATATATTATAATCTTATAATATTCTATTCTGCCCACCTATACTATAGAAAAACCGATTTTATTTGTGTTACTTTAAGTGAGTATACAGGTAAATTTATTTACTAAGTATTTAAAGCTATTCATATTCATAAATCTCCTTTAATTTTTTTTATTTGCATTATTTTAGAAGTATTGTCATAAATGATTTCGGTGCTCCGGAAATAGCGCTGGGGTTTGGACTGGATTGGGTTGCATAAGTGGCGTGATTGGTATTTACATTTTAATTAACCGGATAAATTAATATCCGGATTAAATCTTGTAATATTTAAAGCGATGAGAATCTCTAATATATATAAAAAAAAACGATTGCAATGAATATAACGATTATTAACTTGTGGGAAGCGATCTTATTGATAAGTTCGCCGTATAGGTGGAAGGACATGTATGATCACAGTCTACGTGGATTAACCAAGCGAGTGCAAAGCGTTAGCAAAAGCCAAAAAAGAAGTGCACGGTAGTCCGAGATACTTCGTAACAAATATATAAAGAAACTTTAATTTTTAATTGTCTAAATAATTAATAGGTTATTCTGGTTCGTGAGTATTTATATTTATTTATTATTCTGCGTTAATTAGGTGTGCACAAAGCAGTGTTGTTGAATTACCGTAATTTTAAATTTTTTTGGTAAATTACCTAAGCCATTCATTAAATCACGGTAATTTTACACTTAGTTATTATTCTTAAGAAGGAGTGTAACGCAAATCACGTGATTCAGTCGCTAAATATTTTTATCAAATCAAATTATGTACAGACTCAAATATAGAAATACAGTGAAATTAATCTCACCAGTATCTATAGACGCAACCTTAAAGATAACGATAAATTTACCACATCTTTGGTAAATTACTTGGTAAATTACCGTAATTTACCAATAGTAATTTACCACCTGACAACACTGGTATAAGTATTTTAAGAACAAATCGTGTGACTGGTAACAATTACATATGCATTTGAATGTTACGATCAGTCGGTATAAATCAATTATTAATTATTTGACAATTCTAAATTCAAAATTATGGTTCATCCATTCCTGTTTTAGCGTAACTACGTTGCGCAGCTATCGTATTTTCAATTCCAATCAAAATCCGGAAGTTCTCACACGGACGTCGGGTGTACTACTGTACTAGGGGTCTGCAACTCGGGCTCGTGCACTGCTCGTGCCTGTGCCCAACAAAAGGCACAGGCATGGGCATTTCAGACGCTTATACTGACTGTACTATTACTTAATTATTGGAACTATGATGTGTGAGACAAAATGATTGTACAGGCCTTTCAATGCCGAAAAACGTGTTATTCAGATCCGATGAAGATATATATGTTGTAAGTGAGGGAACCATAACGGAATCCACTTGTATTGGCCGGAATAATTATTATAAAAATCTCAACCTAACCTTAAAACTTCCGTATCAACTTAAATTCTGTTCCCACTTACAACATATACGTCTTTTCACCGAATTGAATATTCGATATTCATTAATTAAGGGTTTCCTCAAACATTTTAATCAATAGATCAAAATGTATCAAAAATGTGTCGTGAAATAAATTTTAATTAGCGAAAAACATTTTCAATAGATCAAAGTGCTTGTCATTAAAATAAATAAGGTACGTGACTACATCAAAGAAAAAAATTTTAAATTGTGAAAAAAGTTTAAAGACATTGGCTAGTGCTTTTTCACTCTCAGAACCAATTCTATTAGAACAAAGATTTAAGAAAATTAAGGCTAAATTTTTGCAAAGAGCATTTGTTAGTACTTTCCCACCCTCAAAGTCAAGTTTATTGGCTTGAAGATTCAAAAAACTTAATATATTGTTTAAATTAATCTAAGTGCATTTGTAATTCTTATCTTCCTCAAATTCAAGCTTAATAAATGACATTCATCGGAATAAATTGTTAGATAAAATTTATTAAATGCATAAAAAATTACAAAATTCTACCTGGCACTACTTACATATAAAATAGTCCCTGTGGGGGAGGTTATGGGTAACTCTGTAAGCTGGAGAATTTTAATTATATGTTCAAAGATAATCCACAATGAGTCAATTATTCTTGAAATTTGAATTCAATCTATAAGCAATTAACATATGTATCTTACAATGATCCGTAATTTTTTCTTCAGATCACAGGAATTGTAATGCACTAATTATATATACATGAAATTATAATTACAATAATTAAAATACATATACGTGCGTACGTTCGTGCTATAATTACCAGTTGGTGCATAAATATATAACAAGCATGTATAATCTTGGAAAATAATTGTTTAAAAAGTAAAAAAAAAAATTATTTACAGTACATTATATTACTAATCAGCTAATTGAAACTAGGTGCCGCACAAAAAATGCGCGGCAGACCCTCCTCGATTTTGATTGGCTAACGGCCGAGGATCTTCAAAATTTTGGCCGGAAAGTAGTAAACAATTATGTAATGTGGGCCGAAATCAACTTTATAATTTTTTCATTACAAAAATAGATTTTTTTAAGAAATAAGCCCGCATTATGGTAAAATTGACCCAAGAACAATTTTCACTTAATGTGCGGCTGCGATTTAATTAGTAAAATTATGAGTAATTCCGGCCTAATTTTTTTATCATCGCTTTTAGCCAATCAAAATCGAGGATCTGCCGCGCATTTTTTGTGCGGCACCTAGGTTCAATAATCAGCTACTTTCTGCGGCAATTGGAAAAAGTATTTACCTCTCATCATTATTATATTACAATAATACCGCTGGTCACTGCCTAGGGTCTTATTTAGGGACTCATTTTTAAAATTGAATATTGCCCATGGATACTCTATGAAGAACAAGTTGAGGATAACCATATTAAAAGTAGTGATCAATATAGTTATACTCAGTGATATTCAAGAGCAGGCTAGTAGGAATAGTGAATAATACCGGATCTTAATCGTGGAGGTATTGTTTTGGGGAGATACTGTAAGCTAACAGTAATAACTATTTTTTCGATTCATCATTATTAATTGCAAGATAGTCTTTGAAAGAATAATGTTAATTGCAAATAAGGAAATTTATTTTTCAATGATTGAAAGAAGTCAATAAATTTTTTTTATAGTTTTTTTAAAGTTTGTTTATACATTTCAATTTCTTGTGATAAATCAGTATCTGGGCCAAATATTTTTAGAATTTCCCCTGATACTCTTTTTATCGGTTCACTATTAATCCGTCCTTCATCATGACCAACCGTACATTTTGATTCATCTATTATATTTGTATTGTTTATATTATTTACATTATTTATATTAATTTGATTGATTTGTTTGTCTTTAGAACTACCTATCAAGGGATCAGATGAAGTTGTTGGATTTAAACATTGAGATGATAAATCTATTGAGGGATATTGAAAAGAATTTTCTAAATGAACAGGTTCGGGAAAAACTAAATGAATTTCTTGATTATTATTTTGATTGTTAAGAGTTATATTTTGTTTTGAATTGTTCTTTCCAAACAGGGCAGAAGAAGTATTAATAGGCTTATTTTCAATCAAAGAATTGATATGTGATAAAAGTTTGGGTGAAATTAATCGAGATGAACTTTCTGGAGGCGAGAAAAGTTTAATCAATAGCATGTATTTTATCCATTCTAAAAAAGAAGGCTGTGAAACTAAATTATTATTACTATTAACTCTATTCTCATTGATAATATCGTCATCAATAGCATCGTTATTGTTAATATCGTTTTTAATAATATCAGTATGTTTGTAATTTAGAACTTTCAGTTCAACAAAATCATTGGATCTTTCTAACATGCAGAATTCATCTGTAATTGCTTTGCTATGAGATCGATGAGGATAATGAAACTCATAAGAGTTAACATTGGAGATCCACCATTGCAGTTTAACATCCTGGAAAGTACGAGTAACAGCAATGTCTTGTGAAAATACTAAAGCATTCAGTAATCCTAAGATACAAAAGATTAGATAAACGAAGTAATGAAAAAAATGATCAAATAATGAGGAGAAAAAAAAAACTCATATATATATACCTTGAAGCGACATGCCAATGAAGCAAAGTAAATATAGAGGATAATAGACCACGCGATTAATATAAGCGTAAATTTCAACGAAAGAACTAAAAAATTGAGCCACCAATGGCACCACAGGATACCACATGACCCTTTTAACAACAGAAGAAATCACAGTATTATCAACCAAACCGGGATAACTAGATGACTGAGAAGTTGACAAAGAATAATCAACTTTCTTCGCCACAGATTTAAGTTTTCTAATGACCATAATAACAACGATCGCACAATACAATATGGATACATCTATCCAACCGAAAAGAGTAACCCCTTGCCATATTATATTATATTTTTGACCTGAATTACGATACCAACAACCGCTGTAATAAATATTAATAAATATAGATAATCATAAATATATTTATGCATATATATATATAATAATAATAATAATAATAATAATATATACATACCCTTCGGGATCATCATAACCATACATATTGGCGGTAATAGGAAGGGACGAGAGTAAAAGGGCAAAAAAAAATACAATTATAAAATAATATTTTTCAAGATTATATCGACTATTATATTCGTTTACGAATACTATATGAAGGTTCTAAATAAAATAAAATAAATAAACCAATGAAATTTACATATATAGATCACGGTAAATTATAATTATAATGCATACCAAAGCTATACAAACGATAAAAAATAGAGAAGAAAGAGTAAAAAATACGACTGCCCAAGCCTTATAAAAGATCCAAATGAAATTAAAAAAAGTTATTGGATATCTAAAAAAAAAAGAAAAGAAAAGCTATTGGATATCGAAAAAGAAAGTTAATGATATCTTACCATGTAACCACACCAAAAACCAGGAGTATCATCCCCAGCAAGAATAACTAGAAGATGACAAGAATAACCTATATCACAAAATAAGGCCGCAAAACTTAAACGAAATGAAACCCGGTCTGCGAATTTAGGATAATATATTTGGATGAAGCCAAATATCACGCATGAGGTAACAGTAGAAATAAGAGAAATGATGTTCAGAGGAACACATATAGTAGATATAGTGATGAATTCATCCTCTGTTATTGGAGTGATAGAATCATTAGACATAATGTTTTTATAGAATTATATATTAGAAAGGATTCGATCAAATTTAAAATATATATATCATTAAAAAAAAGGACAATATAAAAAATAATGGAAATGATTGACGGATAATTTTTTCATTATTATATATTAGATAGTCTTAGTAATTTTGAAGGGTTGTTTTGCTCGGATTAACCTTTAATACAGTAATACAGTAATACTTGTAACAGTTTTTTTTCTTTTATGGTAAAACCTATTTTAAATACATATACAGTCTCGAATTGTTAACAATTCAATTAATATATAGATGTAACCACGTTTTGGTTAAGGTAGATTAATAGTACACCTTGAATGCGCTATAAGTAGTATCAATTATATAGAACAAAAGATTCGTCACGTTATACGAAATTTAATTTTGATGTCATCCAAAGTCTACAATGGTCAAAGTTAAATTTCGTGTAACATGGCGATATTGGGGGTGTTTTAATTTATTACCTAAAAGATCTATACTATACAATTGTCAGTTACCATTAATTGGTTCACCTGTACGTACAAACACGCAAACAAACGAGTGCTACTAGGGTTTACACAGGAAATCCTGATTGTCTCAATATGGTCTCAAAGATTGAATCCATGTAAGCTGTAAGAAATATGGCACTATCATGCCAAGCACCTAAGCATGCCAATAGCACGCTATCAAATCAAAAACTCAGATCCAGAAATTCATTGTGACTTTGCTTGTATTTTATGTTGACCATCTATAATTCCGAAATACATTGCGACTATACCACACACCCTAGATCTATGTAAAATTGGATATATTCGGGCCCTAATCCAAAATCCTGTGACAATCAATACATTTAGCCAAATGTTAATTACATCAGAATTATGCACCTGTACTTAATATAAAAAGGCATTTAGACTGTTATTAAACTTTTTTAGATTTTAATTACGTTTGATAAAAAGGCATAAGTTCTAGCTAGTGGGTTTAAATAAGATTTACCACTTTTATATTTAGTAAAATAACTGATAAATTTTGATTCTTTCTTTATAAAAAAAATAGCATATAATTCCTCGATATGTAATAATATGGGCATTGGTAATCAGAAAATTTGGCTTAAAGTAAGCATTAGAGAAAAAAAAATTAGGTCATACACATTAGTGTTGTATAACAATGAAATGTGGCGTGATTTTACTAAAGCGAGATTTCCAAAATTGGTAATATGCTTTATCTTTTAGGGTTATGCAACGATAAATCTAATTTTTGATTGATCATACGTACGTACGTATGCACGTACGTACCCAAAAACGTGATACAGTTGCTTAATCATAGATATTCCCACCGCATGCAACGATTAAGTGTTAACAAAGATTCCCGTGACAGAGGTTCGACTGTATAAGGTTAATAGAATTGTAGCCAATCATGATCTGATGACCGAATTTTGTACCATTCGATTCGTCTCATCGAATGGTATAACTAGGGATGTTAAAGTCCGGTCCGACTCCATGAGTCGAGTTTTAGGTTGTTCTCAAGCACCTACCTCAATGATTCATAAAGTGATCCGATTGGCTAGAAAAAATTGATCGTGGCAACCATTAAATCAAAAAAACCTGGGGTTAACAATTACCTTTTTTTCATAGAGTTCCGCTGATTGGCTTCAGGAAGATCGCTCAATATAAATTTCTTTCTTTTACTTTTATATTATGGATCTTCAGCAAAACTATCGCCAGCAACAAAGAATTACTACATTACTCCTCATATTAGAAACCCTTATATCTAACCAAAGACATTTGAATACTCTAACACAAAGAATAAACACTTATTACTTTCTAGCCTTTAATTATGTAATATTGAATTCGGCTATTCCACTTGCTCTTTCTTTGCCCAATTCAAGAACACAATGTCAACAAAGACCCAAAACTGGAGGGTTTTGGACCCAAGTTTTTCCATTTTTAGTAGATGGAGAAAGTTACAGTGTCCAACAAAAGTTTTCCCGCACCTATAACTTCTCATAGAGAAGTGCTATGGCCTTGAAACTTTTACAAAAATTAGTACATACATAGTTTAGATCATGTGCATTTTTTGAAGATTTTTTAATCACTAGAAAAAAGTTTGCATGAGAGCTAAATTTGGGATGCTTTTTTTTTAAAAAATAAAAAAATTAAAGAAAAATTAATATATCGTTAAGGCTTAAAGTTAAAATTTTAAAAAAATTAGTATATTAAAATTCAATGATTTCTGTTGTGGTCATAAAAATTTGGCTTGATTTGATGAGATAATTGTTGAGAAATTAATTTTAAAATTTTATTTTTATTTTTAAAAACTACAAAGTAATAGTTTTTTTAATCAAAACTATTTCAATATCTAGTGATCAAAATTTAATGATTTTGGTATTATTTGAATTGTCTCAATGAGACAATTTTAATGATATCAAAATTATCAAATTTGGACTTTTGAAACACAAGATATTAATAAAAAACTTTTGCAATACAAAAAGAGTTAGGTATCAATAAATCAAAAATAAACCTCAAAACTTTAAAAATTAATTTCTCAATAACTATCTCATCAAATTGAGTCAAATTTTTTGCACTATTACAAAAGTCATTGAATTTTAATATATTAATTTTTAGAAGTTTTAGCTTTAAGCCTTAACAATATATTTGAATCAAATTAATTTTTTAATTTTTTTGGGACAAAAAACATCCAAAATTTAGCTCTTATCCAAATTTTTTTTTGTGATTATAAAATCTTCAAAACACATACACAATCTAAACTATGCAGATACTAACTTTTCTGAAAGTTTCAAGATTGTAGCACCTCTCCATGAGGAGATATAGGTGCAGAAAACATTTGTCAAGCACTGTACAATACTTTTTAGCAGCATTTTTATATTAATTTAACTACTTTTTATGCTATTGTAGCACGTTTAGAAACTTATCTGGTTTTTATATCAAATGCACCCAATGCAATATCTGTATGAAAATAGGTTGCAATTGTATTATGGCGGCTAGCAATTTATGCAGTGATACAAATATTAGAGCAAGCATTAGATGTAAGTCAAGGGTCTGTAAGCCACTTTACAGATCGATTTTTAATAGATTTAAAAAATGATCAAATTGCATGGCTACAAGAATTATGTTTAATAACTGTTTGAGAACAGTAATGCTGAATTCAGAAAACCTAGATTAGCAAATGTTCTTGGGACAATGGATAGAACTCATATACCTATTTGTATACCTTCTAAAAATGGCACATATTTTGTTAATTGTAACTTTTTACTTTATAAATCTTTTAGTGGTTGTTAATTATTAGGCATTTTATATATATACATGCTGGGGAAGTGGGCTAGTAATCTAATATTTATTATTTTTTTTTTAGAAAATAACTATATTTAACTAGGGGAAAATCCTCTTCTCTAATTATTTATAGAGTTAGAGTTAGAAATTAGAAAACTAATTTTGTTATATAATATAATATAGAACTATTATAAGGACCTTATAGGGCTTAATTTTAGTTTTTATAAAATTTTTAGAGGCCCTGAACATTTTTACTTAGAGTACTCGATCTGGTTTACTTAGTACATTTTTGAAATATAGCATCTCCAGATAATTTTTCTCAGTGAAAATTAGAAATTCACTTTTTTTTATTAATATAAATAAAGAGTTTTATTTTTTATTACACTCTACTATATCTTAGAATTTTACTAGAGTAACCCCTGTTGTATAACTAACAAAAAATAATCTTCTTGCAATTTTACCTAAATCTAACTCTAATCTAAACACTAATACTAACTCTAACACTAACTCTAATACTAACTCTAATTATTCTAAAGGTATAATTATTATAGAGTTCAATGTATTGCACTCTGCAATAAATTTTTTTTTTAATTAAAGGAGACCTTCTTGGTTGGCAAATTTTATTAAGTAAGTTTAGATACTATATATTGTAACAAAGATACATCAAGCTATACATGTACTTTTGATGTCTAATTTAAGTAGTCTACTTGAAGGTTCTACACTATCTGCTATACCTATAACCCAACTACAGAATTACTCATTTAAACCTTCTGGTCTTAACACATTTGGCCTAATGCTCATCTTAATACAGGTTTAACTCACTATTTGAATTATAGGTATTGTGACACTACTATATTAGTAACTGATTTAGAACACTTTACTATTCTTGAAGGTAAGCCTAACAAAGCAGTACATATTCTATACATGTATTCACCTGCATGTTTTATAACTTCTTTCTATTTAGTATCTGTTGTGCTGCTATTACCAAGTTTGTATCTCAAACCACCCTTTAGAATACTGCCGTAACCTGATCTGTATCTCAAAGCCACAACTTTCTTAATTAGTTTTTTAGTACATACTCATTGCTCTTATTCAGTTTACAAGAACCCTAGTATCCACACTTGAAACTATTATTTTATTCAAATTCTTTATAGTCCCTCCTTTACTTCTAGCAGCAACTCAAAAAAATCAGTCTGTCTAGACTTTAGGTACCTCATAGTTGCTCTTCTCTTGGTCTATACTTTTGGAGTATATACCCTTTTCCTCTAGTGTGTTGGTCTGACAGTTTAGCTAATGTGTCTCTCCACGTAAGAACCTGATTGCTCAGTTCTCTAATCTTAGGCCCCAGTTTAAATTCAACTCTTCTATAGTACTATTAAAGATAACTGTTACCTTCAAATTCAGGATTTCCCAAACTAGTTCCTTAAATTTATTATGCCAAAGCTTCTATTACTAGATGGTGTGACTTAAGTTTTAGATTTTAGTTCTAGATCTAACTAATAAGTATAGCCATTAACCGAAACACAAGTCTATTTTTCAAATATTATTATCTATGAGATTCGAACTCTAGATCTGCCACTTGGAAAAAGTAATGACAAGACCATTACACTAAGTTGCTACACCTCATGCACCCTGCAATAAACTATAAAATTCTAAATAAATATTTATTAATTTTTTTAATATTATAGAAAGTATACATGATGTTCATATATTTTATTGTTTCTCTCTTTATTATAAAATTTTGTTAAATGCTGAGTTATGAGTTCTGAATGGGATATATATTATTGCTAATACAGCATATCCTCTTTGAATATATTGGATACTCAGATTATTATACACTAATACAGCAAGAAAAATAGTTTAATAAGGTTTATTATTAATAAAGATAGGCATTGTACATGTATTTAAATACTTGAAAAAACAATGGAAAATTTTATTGAAAGAATTATATTGTACTAATATGGAATAAATTATTAAAATAATATATGCATATTGCATATAAGGTTTTGACAGACCCAAACTAAAGCTGGACTATAGGCAAATCCAAGTCCAGTTTGAAATTTAAACCAGACTTAGACTAAAACTATTTTAAAGTTTAGCTTAGTCCAGGTTCTTTTTGGCTTAGTCTAAAAGTTTGCAAACATGTTTGAAAGTTTGAAACCCAGTTGAGCTTATTAAAAAAATAAAAATACTTGTATTTATATTCACTTGAATTAAATAATTAACAAGCAAAATTAATTATACTGGTCTAATAAAGTATCAAACATGTAAATTTATAATTTAATAGCTCAATTATACAATAAGAGCCCAAAGTTTGGCTTTTCTTAACATATTTATAAATTAAAAAAAAACTATAAAAAAGTACTATAAAACTGGAATCCTATCAACTCACTAACAATCACTTCATAGACACCACATTTTACTAACAACTACTTACAGACAAGTTCTTTTTATAGACAGTATATTTTACTGAAACTTATTTTATAGACAAAGTAATTTGGGTCATTATCATTAGAATTAGAGCTAATATTAGTGTAATTTATAAAAAATCTTGTTGGTAAAATGAGCTATAGTGAAATTAACTGTTGGTAAAATAAATTCGTAAATGAATAATTTTTAGTAAAATGTGGTGTTTATAATGTTATTATTGGTAAAATAATACAAATCTCATATAACTTAATATAAAAAATTCTATGAAATATACTATAAAAACATACTATGAAAATTCTCATAAAATGTTTTACAAGCTATAAAGTTTGTACAATGTACTACAAACTTCACATAGAACATACATATATTAGATGCTTGTGTTATCAATTTTTTTTTTTGTACTGTATAATTAATATCGCAAATTAAAATGAAATCTGGTTAAAATGAAATGGGAACCTCTTTCACTCTTCTTTAAAGCTTATAAAACCCACTTATACTTTTTTTTTAATAAACCTAACACTAAACTCTAACTCTAACCCTAACCCTAACCCTAAAAAATGTCTCCAAAGTTTTTAAATCGTCTCTAAAAAATATTAAAATTTCATTTTAATCTGTCACAATTAATACTATACATATTATCTTTAATTATTTATTGTTAAAAACAAGAAAATTAGCCAGTTACTATAAATAAAACAGAACACATATAACATATATATAGTCTATACATATATACAATTTGAACATATGAGCTATGTGCTATGTGCTAAGAAAAGGGCCCAAATTGTCAAAACAAAAGATTTTCAGGAAATCAATTTTGTATTGCAAATCTTATAATAAATTATAAGAAAATATAAACTTTAAAAAGCTATACTAGAGAATTTTATTAAAACAAATAATTTTGTGTTCTAGTAAATAATATTTCTAATTGTTATAAAGTGATTTATGCAAAAAAATTACTTTTGAAAATATTGTCAAATTGGGCCCTTTTCTCAGCACACAGCCTATATATACAATTTGTATATATATATAATTTGTACATAAATACAATTTGTACATATATCCAAAATGTATATATGCTCAAATTATACATAGTAATAAAGATGTTATTCTTCATTTTGTATATTGTCATAATAGTAGATCATATAATTTGTAGTAGTGATTTTTTTTTTTTACAAATTTCACAAATTATGTATTTTCATAAAATATTACTATATTAATAGTACTCACAGGTTGTTAACATCCTGAAGTTTGATTAAAGAGAATATAAAACTGGAATTAAAGATAGTGCAGTACTTAGTAAGTTGAAATATATTTTTCTAGCATAGTTAAGTTTTATCAAACCATGTCTCAAAAAATATAAGTCTTCCCTTATGATGATTAGAACCTATGATATCTTAACTATATAGTTTATATTAAGAATCTCTCTTTCCCTTTGTAGTTTAGTTTAAATATTAGTTTATTTGTTTAGTATATTCTTTTATTGTTGTATTATTTCTTTATTATTGTTGTCTTGCAATTTTCACTGTATATAATAAATCTTTTCCAGTAACTAAATTTTGGTTGATAAGTAATAATGTTTAAAAGTTTTGTAACCTCATACTATATGTTTAAGGGTAGGGGTACATTGATCATTTTTCATATAATATTTGTGTTACAATTTTTTTTTGATAATTAAAAAATATTTTATTAAGTTAACTGTTCTTAAAAATTAAATAAAAGTTGTAAAATAGAATTTTTTGATTCTAATGGTAGTAAAATCATTAAAATTTGTTAGATATTCATTGAGATATATGTATTTAAAGATTAGGTATTATTTTTATCATATGATGATCATATAATATGAACCAATCAAAATCAATAATCTTGTGTAACCCAGAGAATTTGAAGTCACCCCAGAAAACTTTACATATATACAAGTATATTTTTTTTAAATATTTTATTTATTAAAATTTTTACTACTATAAAAAATATATTCTAATCTATTTACTACAAAAATTTGATAAAAATTAACTGTAACAGTAAAAGGTTTTATTAATAGCATATTCCAAATTTTTGCAAAAATCATGTTGTGACACTAAGATCATATGAAAAATGATCGACATACCCCTACCAGTGTTGTACATGGGATGTGTCCACACTATGTAAAATATCCAACGTCTAAAATTGTCCAAAATCGTCCAAGCCTATGTCCCATGTTTAACTAATCAATAAAGTAATTTAAAAAAAATATATAATTATATATTTTTTTAGGTGCTGGACTTATTGGTAAAAAAATTAAGATAGATTATCTTAATAAAATTTTGAGTAATTTTAATTTGAAAAAATGTCCAAAATTGTCCAAAATTGTCCCATATACAACACTGCCCCCTACTCTTAAGTGTTATAAATCCTAAACCTAGTTATCCATTAGAGCTAAATTAGATTAACATCTGTAGCTCTCCTAACTAATAGTAACACTAGTTTTGTACAAGTTTACACATTGTACAGCTACCTGAGTTTTTTTAAATTTAATTATTATTTGAACCCGAACATGTTTATGAACTTCGAACTGAACTAATATTTCAAGTTTGAGTTTAGTTCAGGTTTATAAATTCTAGGTTTGGTTTGAGTTTGAGTTTGAAGATCTGCAAAATTTAAAGTTCAGGTTCAGTTTTGACTGAACCCAAACTGAACCTAAACCAAACTGAACCCAATTTTGGAACACTATTAATAAGTAACAACTTGTTTAAAAGAAGGTATAATTAGAGACTAATGATATGAAATAACTTTGTTATTTTTGTGTTTAACCCTTTTATGTTTTAAAAGATCTTTTCCTAAGTCAAAAAATTAAGAACAAAAAAAACATTTAAAAGGTATACTAGTTGCTATTTCTACTTAAAAAAATTAAATTTTTTGTTTTGATCATTTTTATAAAATAGAAAGATTTGCAAATATCATATGTGATAAAATTGATCGAAGTCAAATTGGCCCATATGATTAGGCTGGAATTACTCATAATTTTTTTAATGAAATCATAGCCACCTATTAAGTGAAAATTGTTCCTGGGCCAATTTTTCATAATGCAAGCTTATTTTTTTTAAGAATTTTTATTTTTGTAATGAAAAAATTAAAAGGCTAATTCCGGCTGGAAATTAGTAAACAATTTTATAATGTGGGCCAAAATTTTGAAGATCCTCGGCCGTTAGCCAATCAAAGTCGAGGATCTGTTGGTCCAATTTTGTTGCGGCAGCTATGGTTAATTATTTTAATGTTATGATGAAAATTTATGGTACCCACCTTGATTTTGAGAAGTTCAGTCTAGAATGATTACTGCGTAATAACATAGCATTTAAAAAATAGAAATATAATCAAAATAACCCATGGTAGAGTGCGGGTATAAGGAATTTTTTCTTTTTATAATAAAATATAGAGCTAATAAAGGTCCCGATTTCAGTTCTTGTGAAGTTTTTAGGGGTTCTGAGCTTTTTTACTTAGAGTACCCGATCCCGATTACTATGTACGTTTTTGAGATATAAGCACTTTGGTGGTGATCACCACTGGTTATAGTTTATTATTAAAATTTTGCTTTGTAAATATTAGCTCAAATAAACGAGAACTCATGGAGTTACTACATTTTTTCATTCTTGTATTATAGACGAATTTGGTTTCTTTTTATTAAAAAAAAAACTTTAAGCGAAGACCGCCTGATCAAATTCGATGAAATTTTTTTTTATTGAATTCTATAGATAGATAAATTCGAATAAAAAAATTTTCATCGAATTTGATCAAGTGGTTTCTGAGATATCTTCGCTCAAATTTTAGGAAAAATTGGCGCAGCTTAGACAATATTTTAAAAACTGAGTGAAGATACTTAAGCAACCACCTGATCAAATTCGATAAAAATTTTTTCATCGAATTTGAACAGGTTGTTGCTGAAATAACTTTGCTCAACGTTTTAGGAAAATTTTGGCGCAGCTTCTATTTTTGAATTAACCATAGCTGCCGCATCGATTTTGATTTTACCATAACGCGGGCTTATTTTTTAAGAATTTCTATTTTTGTAATGAAAAAATCAAAAAGTTAATTCCGGCCGGAATTTAGTAAACAATTTTGTAATGTAGGCCAAAATTTTGAAGATCCTCGGCCGTTAGCCAATCAAAATCGAGGATCTGCCGGTCCAATTTTGTTGCGGCAGCTATGGTTAATTATTTTAAAAAAAGCTTTGAGCGATGATATCTCAGCAACCACCTGATCAAATTCGATGAATTTTTTTTTATTTGAATTCTATAGATTCATAAAATTCAAATAAAAAAAAAGAAAAAATTTGCTGAAATCGCATGCAATCACGCACAATCACGTACAATCGATTGCAATCGGGTAATCGGGCACGTAGTGATCTACAAATTTATCAAATTTGCAAACAGCAATAATACAAACTCAGTAGCGAAATAGCCATTATTAACTAGTGTTTCAGCCCGTGCAACCCGGAATAGAGTCGGCTCTTCCTGGGCTCAAAAATTACCCGCTGACACTCGGGTACAAAGATTAACTGTTGAATCCTTTTTAGGTCCCGGTGGAATGAAGAAAGTTTAAGCTATTTAACAGTAGATTTTAGGAATCCTTGAATGTGTGCAGCACATATTCTAAAGCCTAACTGTTGAATAACTTAAACTTTCTTTATTCCACTGGGATCTAAAAGGTTTAACCTGGAATTCAACAGGCATCTTTGTACTCGAGTATCAACCCGGGTACAATAGGTAATTTTTGTACCCAGGAAGACCCGCACTCTACCCGAATTACTCAATGGTGACCTGGGTTGCACGGTTAAACACTATAAATAGCCTCCGGCCGTCAATTAATAAACGGGAGAATAACTCATTTCCCTTCGCGGGGAATAATAGTACTTATTGTACTTACAATGTTATGGAAGGCTGAAAACTGTAAATTATATTAAGATAATGTGTATTGCCATGTTGCCATAAAGTTTGTTAATTTAAATTGTTGACTTATTAATTAATTGTAATAAAAATACAACACACCTCTCAATCCATCAATGTATAATCAGACCACCTAAATGTAACCACCTAAGTGCACTCCCTATGAAAAACCTCCCTAAATGCGTCTTTTCTTGGACTCGACTAATATTACGTCTAATATTTATACCTCCATAAAAGCAATACCTCTCTAAATGCACGTTTGGCTAAATTTTTACACATGGTCCTACCGCATTGCATTTAGAGAAGCTGACTGTACTCCTTCGTTCATTCATGTACTCTTATAACCAATCAGATTACGGTTATGCCCATAAAATATAAAAAGAAAATCTAACCAAATATAAAAATCGCAGATACACGTGGCTGTGAGCCATTCTAGTTCTGTAAAACTTCGTTCTTGGTAAACATATATGTAAATCATATTATTGTTGTTAAATTAATACTTGTAATAAAACAAATCACGAAATTAATAAAAGTGGTAACGGTAAGTTGCTATTTATAAATAAATTTTTAAAAATGGAGAAAATTGCTTTAATTGGAAATTTCATTATACGTACATACCTGACTAATTATGTTCAAGTCAATAAAATTTGGCGCAAACGATTACGTATATGAAGCATGTGAAGATACCCTAAGATAAAAGTAAAAAAAAGAGTGAAGAAAAAATAAATTATTACATGTAGAGTTCATATCTAATTATCTGGATAATTCAAATAGCGGGTTATTTGAAAGGTGTCCGGATAATTATCCGAATATGGATAGTAAATGGATATCCAAATAAATTATTACATGTAGAGTTCATATCTAATTATCTGGATAATTCAAATAGCGGGTTATTTGAAAGGTGTCCGGATAATTATCCGAATATGGATAGTAAATGGATATCCAAATAAATTCAGATAGTTATCCGGATAAATGCTTAATAGATTGGTAATTTAATTACATGCTTATCTAAATACTAAATATAAGCTAAATTCAAATATATAGAAATTTTGTATTCACAACGTAAACCATCCTAATTTTCTTGAATTATTATTTTTTTTTGCAAGAACATAACTTAATGCCGCCAATTCGTTTTTCGATCCCGTGTTCGATTGCTTAATGTGTTGCGCAAATTATTTTCTATATAACGAACTTACACCACTATCTTGTTTAAATATGTATAGTTCTTCCATACCGATATGAAGAATTTTAAAATATTATTTGAACACATTAAAAGTCTTAAATTTTAGTATTCGTCAAAGCTTCACGAGTCATGAAACTACATCCTTGCGAGTGTTGAAGAGAAAAATGAATAAAAAAAAGTCGATTCAAGTATATCGAACTAATTGAAAATATATTGTACAGAAAATTTAAACGCTTTTTTACGTTGTGCTTGAATTTTTTTAACTTTAATTGTAAAATAACTCAAGTCATTAACTTGGGTAGCAATGATAGATAGTTTAGTTAACTTGTGGAGGTTACAGTCCTGTCGGAGAATAATCGTTGAGTTAATCGTCTATAGAGATTTCAACTATTTCGTAAATTTATTAATTATACTAAAATTGAAGGTATTTTAAAGAGAATTTTTACATCGGTTACAAATTACAGATTTAAAAGTATGCGCGTATATACGTACGTACTTTATATCCCGTGATTTAATTAAATCACAATGTTTTTTTTTTTAAAAAAATAAAAGAAATAAAAAAATACAAATAAAACTAATAAAACTTAGAATTATTGATTAACAAGTATAACGATAAATGATATACTGTAATTTGAAATAGATTACATAAACCAAAAACTATAAACAAAGTTCATTCACTATAATAAATCTAACTTTTTTAAAAAATATATATACATTTTTAAAAGTAGCCTTTAAAATCAAGTTGTGCATTCCAATATTTTAATAATGTCGAATTTTTTAGTGTCGCCCATTGACTATCCATACCATTTGCTAGCAATATCTCTTTAACAACTCTAGCTCCTGAACTTAGAGCACCGACCATCCAACCAGTTTGTATATCAGTATGTTCACCAGCCCAATGAACTGAAATTTCAGGTCTCATCATAGCACCTAATAAATCATCAGTTTGTCCAGCCGAGAACATTTCAAAGGCACCACCAATAGAATGTTTATATTGTGCCCAATTGAAAGCTATATTATTATCAGAACCTGAAACCCATTCTGTTTTTGCTATATCACCATGAAGTGTTACTAAATTTTTTAATACGGCATCGTAAAGTTCATCGGTTGTATACGGACTAAATTTTGTAGCACTACTGTCCCATACGTAAGATGCTAACAGAATTGCAGAGCTATTTGTAGGCGTACCAGCATATTGTGATGGGTATACAATGAATCTAATCGGAAGATCAGTAGAAGTAGCGCCACCGAAAATTCCAAGATTGGTACTCGTTTTAGGTGCGCCAGTTACAAGAGGAGATTCTTCCCAGAATCGAGATTTGAATTGAAGATATACTCTTGCAGCATTCATGCAAGTAAGTTCTCGAAGTGCACGTTTTTTATAATAAGTGAATGCTATGATAAATATGTAATTAATTAAGTAAAAAATATAAGTAGTTTAATATATATATATATGTATTAATAAAATATTTTTTAAGGAATATTTACCTTGAGGAAGTTCCCAATGATAAACGTTACCCAAAGGAGCTGTAACAATTACTCTATCAAAAACTTCGGATGATGTTGTATCACCATTCTTCCAATATACTTTAACAGTTTGATTTTCACCCATCTCTAATTTAGTAACCTCACTATTATAATTTAATGTATAATTTTCTTTTTGGATCAATGGTAAGAAAGCGTTAGGAAATCGTTGCATTCCCTTATCAATTGTTTTCTGGGTTATATTAAGGCTAGGACTGCCAAACTCATATTCATTAAGAGTAAGATCAACGAAACCATAACTGCTAAAAATGCCTAAGATTAAATCAAATTTATATAGTTAATTCCAAAAATGAGAAAAAAAGGATTTAAAAAGTTAGTAAAATAATGACAAACTACATACCGGTTCCTAAAACGTTCATTTCAATTGCTTTCATTACTTCTTCATAAGGAGCCATAGATTGTGGTAATTTTGTTGGAAAATAGATATCTTTTAGATAATCATAAGCAGAAAATGAATCATAAAGTTTTAAAGTTTCAATTCCATTTGTGAAATTTTTATCAAGTAAGTCAAAAAAGGGAGCTAATGCATCGTCCCACATGTCTAGAAAACCATCAGGGATTGAATCAGGATATCCTAAGGCAGTAGTTTTAGCACCACCAAAAGCGATACCTTTGGTTATTATACTGCCATTTGCATCTTTTTTTCCATTAAAGTAATATAAAGCACTTTTTATTTTAATAGCATAAAAGAAAATATATAATAGGATTAGTACTTTATATATTCAAAAAATTAAGATAAATGTAATTATAAATAACATACTTTTTATCGAAAGTTTTAAATGAAGTAAGATTCATTACACTATCTGGATTATTTACTTTATTATATTCGTTAAGATAAGTAATAGTATCATAAACTAATTGATGTTGAGAAAGTTCAGGATGACCCTCAACAATAGGAAATCTAGTTGCTCCAAGTTCAGCATATAAACGTTTATCATCATTCGCATCCGCAGTAAAGTATTTAGTATAAACACGTCCTCCAACGCGATCAGAAGATTCAAGGATAGTTACATCTTTAATACCGGCCTCTTTCAAAAGAAGGGCTGAGAATAGTCCTAGAGAGAAATAAGAGTTTGTGAAAATTAATTACACACATAATTATAAAATATTTTATTAAAAATAAATTATATACCAGACAGTCCCGCACCAACAATACATATTTCTAAATAAGTTTATATATATTAATTTTGTTAACTATTATAAATATTATAAATCACAATAAAGTAAAAATTAGTTACTTGGACTTTTTGTTACTGTTCGTTTTGCTTTATCGTCAGACCGTTTTGCTTTTTTTTCATCATCGCTAATTTAGTGATGGAATAAAAGTATTATTAACATTAAAAAAAAACACTGTAATTTTTTTTTTTTTTTGAGCAATTAAAAAATCTTTTAACAAATAATACCTTTTTAAATGTTTAGCATAATAAAAGCTCCTTGCATGAGCAGAGCGTATTTCGTCACGCTTATTTTTTATAGTTCTTTTTCGATTATTATTATTATTAGATTTTTGTCTTTCTCTTCTTTCAATTAATGGATCCACTTTGTTAAAAACATATTATATGACTTGTTATAAATATATATATATTAAAAAATAAATATATATGATGATAAATAAAATAACTTACAAACTGGTAGATTCAGAAAGGTATATATTTAAAAAAATTATTATAATTAGAAAAACGGTTAACCACTGAAAAATCACATGTTTTAATCGCTTGAAAGTCACATGTTCAATTGCTTGACAAGTCACATGTTTAATCGCTTGACAAGTCATAAATCGAACAATTTATGAATTGTCAGGTAATTGGTTCTTTAAAGTGTTAATTCTACTAAAATCCTACTTACAATCTGTTTATCCAAGAATATGAAATGCGTGTGTTAGTAAACTCGTGCTAATAAATTAAAGATTTTATTCCTCTGATGAGTACAATACTTACGACCTATAAGGAAAAGAAAGAGAAATATTATTTAAGTGGGTTAAAAAAAACACGATTTATATAAAAATACGATTTATTGATCCTTACATTGAGCAATTATAATGAGAGATGAAATGTAAACTAACACGAAAATTAGAATAAAATGCACCCTTAGTAACATTATTGGGTATGTATTACGAAATAAAATTTTTTAAGTAAGTAAATTTATTCTAAGTAATTCTAAGGACGATAAAAGGATGAAGGAATATTTGATTGATATTTTATATTGTTTTTTTTCGTCGACATGTATAACATTTCAAATGCTATTTATTCGTGCTTTGTCCTAAAAATACGCAAATGCATAATAAAGTTTATTTACTTGATAGTCATGACAAAAAACGAGTATATTCTATAAATGCATATTTTCAATCTGAGCTTAATAGCATTTATGTACGTATTTTGTTGACTGTAATGTATATAATGCATAATTTCTGATAAAATTTATCCTTTTTTGAATTATATCTAAACGTAATTCGGCATCGAAACATTTATTAATAAATTTCTTTTTCAAAATTAAAAATGCTGTTATTTAAGAAATAACGTTTGAACGAGTCAACATATAAATTATCACATGATTTATAATTTTATCATTGGGATCGAAAATTATGAGATGAATATCTTAAAAATCCTATTAATAGTTTGTGAAAGAAAATCTTATCCAAAATTACAGATTATATTACTGCGCTATTTTCATTAATAATGCACGTTGTTGATCCCAAATCAAATTGAATTACTGATTTGCTATAGTTAAGCAAACGCCAAAAAACAAGGGGGGCATATAATCATATTGTGAAACCTTATTTGGAAATGAGATAATCATTTTATATATTCCACAAATAGACTACTTCTATTTTTATTAATAAAAAATTTTTAAAATAACAAATCGTATTGTACTTTTTAAAGTTAGCTAAAAAGTTTAATAAAAATCTAAAGATATAATTGAAGAACTTTAATGTGATAGGCTACAAATAAATTAGTGGTGGTAAATAGACATGTTATAAGCACGTGTGTGACTCGATGATTCTTAAGTATTTATATTTTTGGCAAAAATAAATTAGTTTTAATTTTAAACGATATTTTTGGCAACTATTTAAACTTGTAAAAATTGATCTTTGTTAAGTATAGAGAAAATTTAGCCACCTATAAAAAAATTCTCTCTAACTTTAAATCATAAAAATTGACGAAGTGTTTCTCTATAGCTCTATACAAATTATAAATATCTAAATTTTTGTTTTCTTGGCAATGTTGTTAAAAACAAAAAAATATCTAAATTTTTGTGTTTTCTTGGCAATGTTGTTAAAAAACAAAAAACAAATAAAATAAAATAAATTCTTCGAACTAAAAACTTTGTTAATGATTATCACTTATCATACTTATCATGTGTTTGTTTTATGAACTAATATAGAATTAATGCCATTGGATGATATCAAAAGATATGCATATACGTACGTACGTACATACCGTATTTTTTATTAACGTTAAAGCATTGTTTCAAATATATATATATATCCAATTCAATAAATGCAAAAAACATACAAAGAAATTCATTTAGGTATTATTGCTTATTCGACAGAATATTTATGACAATTATTGATTGAACTTACTGAAACGAGAAATTTTCCAATGATAAATAAGTCATCCGTAAATTAGAGTTCGACAGGGCGGCCCACACCTTGCCGGATACATTATGGTGATGATCCACAGCATATTATTTTTTTTTTGAATCTTGATGACGATTGTTGCAGCTACTGTGGCGGAAAGTCGATCATCCGGTAGGGTGTGGATCATCGACCATCATGTAACCGGACTTTGAGGGGCCTCGATATCGAACTCTAAATTACGCTAATGTGTTGACTGACCAATTAGATCATATGACATCAGAGTAAAAATTTGATTACGCGACTTTACATTTTATCGGCAACAGCACAAATATACAAGGTATATACTACTATTTTGTCACAAGGCCATTATAAAAATAATAGCGTGAGAGTTAGAGCTATTAAAGGCATGCTTACGTTAAGTTGAAATAAATAGATATATATATGTATCTGCAATCTATTATCTGTTGATAATCTAAATTTAGCATATTTAATTTTGTCTTTTTACAATTTTATACATTTGTTATAGATTTGAAACAATGAAAATATCGCTTGGCAAGATAGCATCTCTAATCTACTATTATATTTTTAATTACCGTAAAACTCTGAAAATAAGCATTACTTTTTTTAATTAATGGAAGTGCTTATTCACTAATTATTTGAAAGCAGATAACATGCTGATTCTGTATTGATCAACACTGGGTAACGTTTATTATGACGGTGCTTATTTTATGGAACAAAATTTTTATCATGAGGGTGTTTATTTACTGTTGATGCTTATTTTCAGAGTTTGGCTTTATTTAAAGAGCGCTTTGAGTTTATTAAGTTTAGCTTAATATTTTACTACTACAATATCAATATTTGAAGAAGAGAAAGTTCGTAAGTATTGTGAAGTTGTATGATAGTGGTAAAACGATCTATCAAATAGAATTGAGATCATCAATACAATAAAGGGCATCGCTGGTAATAGAAAAAATTTAAGATTGAGGTTCTAGAGTAAATCAAGTATTATTGTATACACATATAGCTTCTCTTGACGTGTTATACATGAACAAATCGAGTTTGGAGGATCATCTAAAAAATTTCTGGTTATGGAAAACCCACCTGCTATAAACCATCTTTTCATCTGTATATTTTAATTAGATCAAATCCTTCTTATCCACATAATCTTCTCTTTCCATTCGTTCGCTTAGAATCTGTAGTATTTATCCGAATTTTTTCCTTTTAAATCATTAATTTATATAACCTATTAACTTTTATGTATGCTTTCATATGATGTTTATAAATTTAGTACTGGACAATTTGGAATTTTATAACGATAAATATATAGCATATATATATGAAGAAATAAATAATTTTGTATAAATCTATATAAATGCAAAGTAACGAAATAAGCTATATACAGATATATATAGCATATTCCAATTTTAAATGTTGCTGTTATTCATATTTAGGTTAAGAACCTGTTAGTATGATAAAGTAACATGCAATCAGGGACATGCATTATCGATTTTACAATACAGAAATGATGATTAGAGCAATTATTGCGATGCCAATCATATAATGCACTAATTTCGAGTAAAATGATTCTACGTTCTGTCAGCAGACATCTCATTTTTTAATGGTTAGAATTCTAGAAAATTTTGTCAAATAATCAATGCATTATCACAATATTGTAAAAATATCTGATCAAAATTGGCCGCTCTTACGCCATTATTTTAACTCTAATATGGTTTTTTAAAAAAAAACTCTTCAAAACAAAAGAACTTTTAGTAGGCCAAGAAGGCCAAGAATTTTACGCATGTAAGTATGTATGCATTTATAGCATGAGTGATGACGTACGTATTACGTATATATGCACAATCTGCATTGATATTTATCCATATTTAAAGGAAAAACCCGTTAGTATGACGGAAAGTAGATTTAGGTTAGAACCAACTTTATAAATATTCGTTATTCACTGAGAAATCCAGTTTTTTATGAGTTCGTTAAAAGAAACCAGAATTTTTACTTGAAAAAGTTCATTGGCGCACTCATCTAGTAACTTGCATATAGATTAGTAATAATGATTATTAAAGATTAATAATGATAAAATTAAAAAACAAAAGGATCGAACTATTTTTCAGTGTACCTGCCATAATATAATATCTTGGTTATCGGGTATAAATAGAAACCATTTCCACGAGTATCACAACTATTTAAAACTTTGCAGGCGTTCCCAAAATTTCAGATCGGAATTCACCGGAGTTTAGTCTACATTAACTAATACTAGCTAAAGTCTGTAATAAAATTATTAGTTGCCATTTTTACTTGATGCCATCATACAGTATATAATAAAATATTTAATGATCTTGGTAAAATTGACCAGTACAGGAAACAGCAGATCACCGACTCGGAACCTTGGGAACTTTCTTGCGCGAGTTTATTGTCCGGAGTGAAGCGGAGGTCACTCCGTTGTCCGCAGCATGATGGGCAACCAAATTGCCAAATTTAATATTTGTATTTCAAATTATTGCTGACAATAATTGTAGAAATCAATTGCAAAATCGATTATTATTTTTTAAGAGTATTCCCAAGACTTATAATTTATTAATAATTGTTATCATTGTACTGTATATCACAAGTTTGGAAATGTAGGGTACACTAAAAAAAGGCAGCAATTAGGTGCTGTTAGACCTGTAAAATTTCAAAAGCTTCGTGATTATATTACCCCCCCTAGCGCACCCATAAAAATTGCTCCCTCCATGATTTTTGGCCAATCAAATTTCAAAATCAGATGTAACGTAAACAGTCGAAGCGAACCCATTTTTTTACAAATAAAACTGAAATAACTCAAATTTTAATTAAGAAACCACCTTCTGCGGCCTAATTAAAAATGTTCCTTGTGAAATTTTACCAATATCTCCAAACTATTCATGTTACTGTATTCACGTGATTATGAGCATATGCAGTGTTCAATAAACTCTATTACTCCAAACCCTTAACCGTACGACACATTTCATTTTTCTTTGTATTTAGAGTTCTAATGCATTAAGCATTTATCCGGATAACCATCATATATCCCTTTCATACATAGAACATTTATTACCTTAACACATATATTGACAAATGAAAGGTATTCCTAAACACAAATTAGATTTATATTCACAGGTCAAAATATGACAAACCAGGCACAAATCTGTACCTGATTTGTGCCTGGT